CTTCCCATTTCTGGTATAATGTAGAGTAGAAAAAGGAAGAGAATAAATAAGAAACAACTGATTAACACATACAAATGGAACAGAAAAGGCAAGATAAATCATGTGTAAAAGTCACCATCATCATTTTCATGATGTTGTTAACAGTTCATGAGACTTATAGTGATACTCTTATTTCCTTCTTCTGCTTCTCATTCCATGACCCCCTCCCCCAGGAACCTGCAAAGCAACTTTTGGCACTGAAATCTGGAAAGCAGTGGGAAAATTCCAGTTCAGCCTCAACTTAATATCTCCATGTTCTTTGCAGCAGTTTTCAGCAGTAGGACCTTACCATCTGATGGGCAACCAACAACAGTGACAATGGTCTTTATTGTTTTGGGCAGCTAAAGGTCCTCTATAGTTCGTAATTCCTAGGTAGGTAGCCTAATCCTGGCACTGTGATTTTTCTTTAATAAATTTATGACTTGATCTCTAGGAGTGTATTTCCCACTAATGCAAGCTATTTTCACTCAAGCAATAACTATCATTTAAGATCTGTTGGAAGATTGTTTTCATTCACTTTATTGTATATATCTTCTGTGACTTACCCAAAACCTTCCTAGCTGTGCCTGACCCTTGTACTATGTGTGGATGAATTTTCCATCCTTACCCCTTTAGGAAAGCTTGCATGTTTTTCAGTTACTATTCTAACTCTGTGAAACAGAATGAGATAAGCATCATATGTATTACATGAAGCCTTTTTGCAAAGGTAGGCAAAATCTTTGAAGGTCCATCAACCACCATTGTAATCTGGAGATGATTGATCTCAGGAGTCAACAGCTGAGTAGATACTAAATAAAATGGCTAACAATGTTCAACATGGAATAGAAGATTCCATTTTTTGTATTGACTATGTGCTCAAGAGATCAATGTTAGGATACAGCTGCAGGTATGGGAGACTCAAACATGCTTTGAAAACACTTATGAGCCTCCATTGACTTCATTTTACTCCATAGACAGCCCTAATTATCTCCTCCTTATCAGCAAAATTTATTCAAATAGCTATCTTTACTCCATTCTTTCTTTCCCGTTCATTCTCCAATTCATTCCATGGTAGCCTCCTAGTTTAATTATTATTTCTTCGAAATTGTTCTTGACTTTGTCACTGGTGACTTCTCTGTGAAAATGTCCACCAGACCTTCCTCCAGACCATCATTAAACTTCTCGGTAGCATTAGGTCCCATTCTTTTAAAAACCTGATGTTCTGTAGTGTGTCCTTCATGATTTCGTATGGTTATTTTTATGCATTTAACAGGTCACTCTTTTTTTTTTAAATCTCATCTTTATGTGAGCAAATCTTTTTATTCATCCACACTTAGTAGTTATGTTTATCCATGGCTTTAAATACAATGGACATGCTAAAGAATTACAAATTCATTTCTCTGTGTATTCTACCCTGTATCCAGACAGATAGCCAATTACCTTCTCTGCATCTCCACACCAGGTAATGAAACATCATCAAAATTTAATCTCTGTTGCCTCCTTTTTTGCTGTCAGTGTATTTCTCTGTGATTCATCCATCTAATTTTGGCTCAAACCTAGAGGCATTCTTGATTATGCTCTCTCCTCAGCCATTCAGTTCATCCAAATCATGTTAGCCCTATAGCTTTTACACCTAAAATACAATCTAAGTATTTCCTTCATTTTCAAAGTCAGTACCATGCAAAGTCATTATATTCAGTCTGTAGTTTGGAATAACTCAACTGCCTTTTAACTGGTCTTATTTATCATTTCTGTGATCTGTTCTTGAAGATAATATTTATTTGTTAAAGTACTGTATTCTTTACTCCTAAAATCTCTCATGAACCTTTTGCTTTATCTAGGATGAAATCCAATGTTGAGACCACAGTCTACCATGCTCTATATGATACTGCCCCTCTTACTCTCCTGCTTCACCTCCTGTCCCTATGTTGCCTTTTCTTCCCTGCACTCATCTTACTCCATACATAGTGTTCTTGTTTCTTTAGTGCATCTTATTTAATTGACTGTTCTGACTAGATATGACAGGAAGCAGTAGTGGCTTGCATGCTACTGGGGTAATCAACCTTCAGAGTGAATTTGAAGCCTGTTCCACACGAGGAAACTTAGTCTTAGTACTGTAAATCTTGCCCAAAACCCAAACTTGTGGACCTATAAGCCCTGGAGGTAAACCTGCTAGTATTATTCTGCTAAGTGGACATAGTATCAAATTGATTTCAAAAACATATATCTATATCCATAAATAGTGCTGCTCTCAGTCCTTATCAAAGAAGCATCTTTGTGTAGTTGATACAGAGACTCCCAACTGGTGAAGGTACAGAGAACAAGTCTGTGTGGAGTGCTCTGCCATAGATGAATGTTGCACCTCCCTCCCCCGGGCTCAGAAAACATAAAAGGGTGGGTGGATAGTTTTATTTTTATTTATTCTTGCAGAATTTCATACAGTATATATTTATTACATTCTTACTCCTCCCAGATTCTCCCCTACTTCTACCCTCTCCCAACTTCATGTTTTTTTCTTTCTCTTAAAAATTAGAACTGAAACAAAAATCAAAAGAAAAAAGTCACCATAAAACGTGAAGTTCTGTATGTATGGGCAACTGCTCCTGAGCATGGGTCCTGCCCTAGAATGAGGTTGATACACCCCATATCACTTCATTGAAGAAAATGGATATTCCCTCTTCTAGCAGAGAGTGGAAATATCTTAAGAGCCAGAGGTCAGGAAGGACTTAGGGGAAACTGTTCTCTGGACATGACAGGTTTCTTGCCCTCAGGAACCCACAGCACCTGTGATTACCTATACAAGATCAAACCAATCAACATTCCATCATAAATATGGAAGGACCACAGAAGTACCTACTCCTAAATGAGGAGCTATTGATGGCTGAAGGCTCCTAGGGGAGGGAGAATCAATTTTCTTTAGGGGTGTAGTCTTTGGTAGACTGGCAGTACCAGTGGATAGTGCTACATTTATGAATATATAAGCAGCACTAATTGGACTCAGTGAGTTATTTTAAAAACAGGGCATAAAGTTGGAAGGGGACACTTAGGAAAGGGAAACTCAGAAGGAGCTGGAAGGGAGGAGCTGAGGATGTGTAAATATGATCAGAATATATTGCTTACATATAACGTTCTCAGAGAATCAAGAAATATATTATATTTTAAAGCACAGATATCAAAACACCTCTATTATACTTTTAAAAATATGACCTAAGTTTAATGAGTGTTGTTGACTTTCCTTTCACACTCATTAGCTGTCAATAGCTTCTCAGAGAGGGATGTGACCTCATGAGCCCCTTCCCCATGAATAATGGAATATTGATGGATGCAACTTTGTACGGGTCTTGTATAGGTAACTACAGATAGCATTTCACACAACTCCTCTTTCTCTGATTTTTATATTATTTCTACTTCTTCCTCAATGTTCTCTGAACTCTGGTGTGTGTGTGTGTGTGTGTGTGTGTGTGTGTGTGTGTGTGTGTGTGTGTGTGTTTGTGTGTGTGTGTGTATTATACAGATGTTTAGAGTTGCGCTGTTCGATATTTTTAACCCTTGAATTGTTTGGAAGGACCCTCCTGGTACTAAGGGGTTTTCCTGTTAGCCAATTTTATTTGGTTTGCTCTGCATAGGTTGAAGTTTTATATTGATATCAATGCTCATAGTCTCTTTTAAGCATGTTCTGGTTCATGAATCCACCCTTTTGAAGTGTAACCACCAGACATGGACATAGAATCCACGTGCCTTCTGATAGGCCCAGGAAGCAAAGCCATTGAAGATATATGATTTGAGATTAACTTATAAAATTATATATATATTTTTAAAAAACACAGATCTTTTTTTTCCTTGTGGACTTGCAGACTGGTCTAACTACACGTGACAACTTAAAACATTCAATGATTAAACTGATTTTACCATCACAGACTTCTTTAATGTTTGGTGTCCTTCAAGTGTCCTCTAGCATCACAGATAAGATGCTGGAAGCCATCTTGCATCCATAACTTGAGTTAGCGAGGCATTTAGTGAGAGCCGGCAGGCTGCTTCAGTTGAGTCAGTTGCTAGACTACATCACCCTCTAGTGGTCAGAGTTCAATTTCAAGACAGGAATATTGGCATATCCTCAGAAGTGGGTGACTAGACAACTCAGCTTCCCTAGTGTAGAAAACTTTGCCTTGATTATTTTCAGCTCAATGGCTGACCGATTCCCCACTGTACTATAGATTCTGACACAGTCCCGCTTGCGTTAGCTCTCTACTCCCTCTCCGTCTTAGACTAATTTTTTAGAGACTCAGAATCTCAAGCTGCTTCTCCTTTTATTTTTGTTAAGTAGGTGTAGATATTTCCCCCCTTGGGAATATTTCCTTGTTTCTATCTTATTTATTATTATTGAATTTAGACACAGAAGATCTTAAAATAGGGGACATGATCTAGAATTCCTATTGCAGAAAGTCAAGGCATAATCCACATGAGGTGACTGTGGCTCAAGGCAGGAGTACTGACCTTCAGGCCAGGCCCGATCTAAAAGAGCATCCCTGCAGCTTGTTGGCTGTGGTGTTAGTCAAGTGATTTTACTTTTCCAAGTTTACTCACAAGACAAGAGGAACCCTGCAGAGTTCTGGTGGCTCACAAACGAAGCAAGCCACACAAAACGCTCACACTCAGTTCCTTGGGTAGATGGGCCCCTTTCTCCTTGCCAGATGACTTCCTGGGCATGGCATGGGATATATTCTTCACTCTATTCATTGCACAGGTTTGTGCTCAGCTGTGCGTTGTCATTTTCTCTGATGGCTGATTTTACAGGTGTGAGGAAGTAACTGGTGGAGCTCAGTCTAGTCTGGATCTTTCCCAAGTTCCCTATCCCCAAGATATTCACCCACGCCTTTGATCAGAAAGCTTTGGGAAGAACAAGGTCTATTCAGATGCATTTATTCAACAAACAGGCTAGCCAAGCATCGTGGTAGTCTTAAAAGAGTTCAAAATCTTGACTTTCAGCAAGGTCCGTATTTTCTAATGAGGACAGGAACCTGGCGTTCCCTGTAGAAGAGTTGAAGAAAACAAATAATAGTCAGCTTGAACTTCATTGGCACAAATAAGTGACTATGGGAGAATGACAATGAAAGTTAAAAAAATAATTTCCCCTTTTAAAAAAAGAGAGGCTTATGTTTTATTCCCAGTTTTCCCTTTTTCCAATACATTCATTCATTCACTTATTTACTGAGTATTTGTTGCTTTCTATTGTGTTTACATGGGATACGACAGAACAGTAAACGTTTCTATCATTACTATTTACAGATCTAATGGGGTATTACTTTGAAATTAATCTCAAATTCAACACTGTTTCTTTTACTGCAGATGCTGCAAACTTACTAACAATATGGAAATCTTAGCTGGTGCCCAGGTTACAGCAGGGCCTGCTCACTGTTTAACATTTCATCTTAGAAGATGGGGGCTTGAACTTGTCACGTCATCTTGAGTCTCATAACAGCAGCCAATACTGAGGCCTCTTTAGATAAAATCTTCTCTGTCCTTCCCATGTTTCCTTTACCAAACCAGTTTCTCTCACAAAATCTAAATGTCCTTTAATTCTGTAATTGTTCCTTAGTTCTAAGACAGCTTCTAGCGTTATCTTTCTAGTTAATGTTTCCTTGAACAGACTGGAATGCAACAATTTTTTTCTGTTATTGGAGAAGATGTGATACTCATCTATTTTCACATGTACATTTTCTGGATCCATTGTTTCTTCACTTTAACATTAACATTAACTTATAATAATGCCGATTTCAAAGTCACTTATATAAGTCTGTTATCCGCAGCTGTGCTGTTCACTTTGGTTCACACTGCTCGTTAGCCACGTTGGGTTACTTACACTTAAAAGTTTAACAACATCAACACTTCAGTTTCTCAGTATACTATCTGTGCTTCAGAGTCAGTGACTAGCACAATTGGCCAGTGGCTCTGTATTGGCCCACACAGACAGAAAACACTTCTAGTGCCACAGAAAGTTCTGTCAGTCACTGCTTTCCTATTTAAAAGAATTGTTAAGAGCTTCTCCGACAAAGCGTAGAAGACATATGATGTCCTGACTTAACAAGCCTGGCAGGCGCCTGATACACATGGGACCTCTCATAGGAAAGGCCTGTTTGGTGTTTCAAATCCCAGTCGTTAGACCCAGAGCCTGGCTCGAGTAATAGTTACCACACAGGTCATTTTTGTGCAACTTCAAAAGATGACATTTTTAATTAAAATATAATTCCTTTTCCTCTCTAACGACTCTCAAGTTCCCTCTGTCCAAACCCTCATTACCCATTCACTTTCAAATTGGTAGCCTCTTTTTCTTTGATTATTATTGTGTGTGTGTGTGTACAAATAGACAGATACAACCCGCTGAGTCCATTTTTTGTTGTTTGTATGTGTGACTTTTAATGGGCAATCGAAACAAAGGCACTATAGAAACCTCAGATCATCCTCTTACGTTTGAGAAAGACAAACCTATCTCGAGACATAAATGTTATTTCAGAACACAGGGGAAAACATTGCACTTTCAGGCAGTGGAATGTGCCTCTTACATTTACACGTATTTGAAAGAATACAAAGAGCTAATTGCAACCAGTAGGTTAAAAGGTCAAAGGAGAGCGTGTTCAGCATTTTGCTCATATTTTCCGAATGCTTTGCTCTAAATAGAGGCCTTCAGACTTCAGAGCTTACACTTGGAGATTTCACAAGTCTCAAGGGTGCTATGGGGCTTTCCTCCTCCCTGTGGATGGAAATAATGATGCTTGACCTTAATGTCAACAACATAGGTCATGAGAAAATTAACAAGTGGTTTCAAATGTATTCTTTCTACAAGTTTCCCCTGTTCCTCCCCAAACGCCTGAGCCAGGAGCTCAGCCTGTAGCCCTGGCTGACAGGTGAAAGAACAGACTGGCTTAGAGCTCAGGTTTTTTTCTGTCTTGGCCTGCAGTGTGGGGTTAGCAGGCATGTGCTATCATGCCTGGCATATTTTACACACTGGCAGCATCCTCACCGTAAAGCTGAATGCCTAGTGTTTGGGGACTAAAATGTCTACAATCCTGGATAAACTCTGAGACTTTAATGAACTCTTTTAAAGCCATCCCAGAAGAGAATTTGTATTACAGGGAGGAGATTCATGCAGAGGAATAGTGACAATTTATAGTCACTTGAGCCTGAGCTGAAGTCTTTAACATGGAGTCAATTCTAGAAAATCTAAGTTGTTCCCGTCCCATGTGGGATCCCTGTTGTTTAGTTGAAACTCAGTCTCATTTAAATGGCATTTTTTTCCATTAAACTTTTTTTTGCCCTTTCAGTTAGAAGATATTGCCATTTTTGCTTGGTCACATAACCCTTTATACTTTTTTTTGCTGTTAATTTCCATCACGTATAAGAAGCTCTTACACATGCTCATGAGGTGGGCTGTGTTGTTGGTGTTTGTTTTGTTTGTTTCTGTCACAAACACATGGGACACAAGCATAATAACTGGCACGTGGTTGACTGCTCGGTCATAGTGCAAGAGAAAAACCGATACGTCTATTTGTCCCAGTGTCCTGAGTGATTCCTGTTCCCCAACTTTAAACACGTCAGAAGATTAAACTACATTGAGCCTAGATTTCATTCCCATGAATACATGTTATAAAATATACTTCTGTTCACTAAAACCTATATAACTCACATTTGCTAATTTGGGGGAGCATTAGAAAATACCATTTTAGCTATTGTCGAGCATCATTTTTTTTCAGATTAAAGTTATTTTGTATGTATAGGCGTTTTGAAAATCTAGACTATTAACCATATTGCTAAGAAAATTAGGGCTTTTATCATCCAAGCGATTTTTAAATCTTATTATCATACCAAATTTATGAAAAGAAAGGTTTATTTATTGACCTAGGTTTCAATAGGATAACATATGTAAAATTCTAATGGTAAGTAAGTTAAAATAAGTACTTATAAATTGGATTTTATCCTCACCTGTTTTCAGAGCACAGGGTGCATTCATTGGAGTAAGTAATTCCATCCATCCCACACACAGGGTCATAAATCCTGGGACATCCTGTAACTCCATAATTGCAATCAGCCTAAACACAGAATTAAAAACAGTCACTTTCTATCATTTTCAATGTTTGATCTTAAAATATTTTTAAAAATTTAAATTAATTTTTTTCAATTAGGATAATGACACTGGATGTTGTATAAGAAAGCAATAACAACAACAAAAGAAATCTGCCCTGGAATCAGAAAATCTGATTTAAAGTCAAGTTATGGCTGTCTACTAATTCCGCCCTTGATCTCAGTCACTTCATCTGCAAATTGGGAAAACATCAGTTCCCAACTTACATCATGATGCTATGGTGAGGTTTGGTAAGAAGAAGAAGAAGATAACTCTCAAGCTCACATTTCCTGGTATGCTGTCTTCCTGAAGGAAAGCTGCTAACAGGGTAGTCTTCCTTGCTGATTATTATTAAACACCTTTCATAGGGCACTGTCTTATTTTTATGCATTGTTCTAGTGGAAAAGTCTCACCCCAGAATCGAAACTGTCAATTATCCATTCATTGATCTACCCAATAGCTATCTTGTAAGGTTATCATTCCACTCTTCCACGATGGAAGAGTCACAAAGTGATGAATTGAGTTAAAGTCACATAGCTAGTCATTCTTGGACCCTGAATTCCAGTTCCTGGGTGTTGCGTCATCACCCCTCCGTTCCAGGACGTCGACCACCAGCTCTGTTTTGCTGACACTTATTCATTCCTCATGGATCAATACTTGGGGAACCTTCCTTCACCTCTCTAACAGCTCACATAGGAAATTAGAGAATTAAGAAATTATAAATTATAAGAAACAAGAAAAATTATACAATTCTCTTTACCTTTTTGCCCGCGAAGTCAGCCGTAGTGTTACCTAGAAAACATAAATCAGACATGCCAACTAGAATCCCAAATAAAGAAGCCAGATCTATTCTTACTTACAAAAGAACGCAGTTTTTACAGTGGCTTCTCTGCTTTCACTATCCACTTCCCACTTCTTATTTCCACAGACTTTCAAGGACACTGGATAGGTTTTCTCCATTCCCTGCCTGCTAAGATCTTGAAAAGGATTAAGTAAAAATTTGACTGTTACTGAGCATTTCAATTTGGCATTTCAGAAAATTTGATCCACTTCCTTGAGAATAAAAATTATGTACTCAGAGTTTGAAATGTATAGGCACTAATTATTCAGACAACTTCTGGATGTCCATAGAATTTTCATCTCAGTCAGTGACTTAGAAATATCTGTACCTCAGGGTGTGGGTGGCAGTATGGGAAATAGCCATCGGGTCTTGGGATGTAATTAAGTTCCTTTTGTAAATAGTGTTAAAAATGGGGCTTTTCTGCCAGCTCACCATCGGTTCCCAAAGAACTTTTTCCCACAGGTGCATTACACTGACTGACTAAAGGTCCGTGTTGTCTTTTGGGTATTTATGCAGTTCAAAAAAGATTCCATTCTTCAGAAAACAAGTCTTGCTGACATCAAAGCATATGATACATATGCTTATATGTAACAACAATTAAAGAAAATTGAATTTGAAAGAGAGCAAGGAGGTATATGGGAAGGTTTGGAAGGAGAAAAGGGAAGGGGGAAATGATGTAATTATGTTATACTATCAAAAAGTTACTATTTTTTTTAAAAAAAAGAGCAGATGGCAACTGTGAATGTAGATGAGTTTACCAGGGAAAGGAATCTAATCTGATAGCCCCCAAAGGAGAATGTTCCTGAAACTTAATTTTCAGTCAATGATCTCTGAAGAAATGAAAAAGAACACGGGGATTCATCAGAGAAGATGAGGCTGCTAGGGTCCCTTTGGATCCAGAATGTAAACAAGTCTAAAAATTGATGAGCAGGGGCTTATTACAGGCATCTAGTTATATTAATTATTAGGCTTGAGGTGGGACAAAGGGCCCTTTTCTTCTATAAATATTTATCTAAAACAACAAACAGTAGCCTTCCCCTTCTTAGCTCAGCACAGATATGGCTCTCGTCAAAGTTCTGCCTGAGCCGCAGGAGGGGAAAGTGTCCATCAATGCCATTTACAAAAGTCAAACCCATCTCAACCAGAATTGCCTCCCAACAGTCTCATGGTAAGTTCGAGCATTCCTTCACCGGTTTAAACAGGATGTTTTCTTTCTAAACATCCTACAGATCAAACATCAAACTTCTAATCACTCAAAATGTGACTTTTATGCAAACTAAATGGCAGTCATTGTTACCTATTTTATGCAAGTTCATAAGAATTTCAATTTTGTAAGTTGGCCTTAGTCTAGTAACCATTTCTAGAGTTAGAAGGGTATTTTAGATTGAAACCCTTTCGTCTCTACCACATCCCTAATGGAGTAGCAGCCTTGTTTTAGAGCAGGCCATGACTATCTCTGGGCACGTCTTACGGAAATGCTTTCCTCATTTATGTTAGAAATGACTTCTTTTTGTAATTCACGCCAGAAATACTTCTTCTTGGTATTCACTCCATTGACTTCATTTCAATTCACTGGCACCAATGAGCTAACACTAGACTATCTAAATTTCCAGGAGATATATTCAGTAAAGCAATAGATCAAAGTTTTTTTTTTTACTAATTTTTGAAGAATATGCAAACACACCTACCTGCTAAACTGAGCAGGACCAAGACACCAAGAAAGATAGCTGCCACCTTCATGGTTGCAGATCCAGGCGCAAAGGTCAGGAGCTCTGCACTGTACTTCTCCTCAGAAACTGAGGAGTGGTCTTGTAGACAGATGGTAGCATAGGCTCCACCCACTGTGCTGTATAATAGGTATCCTTGGTTATTGATTGACTCTGTGCGGCTGTCAGGCTGGGGAAACGTTATCTGAGTAGTAAACAGGGCAGGAGAGGCTGGACCCAAATTCTCCAGGAAAAGCTAGTTAACTTGATTCCTGACATCCTTTCAGGTTTTGAGAAATGCTCTCTGCTTTCCTGAGCCTGGTTTTCTTGTCTGTAGGTGAGATCAAAAGTCCTGTCTCCTCTGTAGTTCTGAACGGATGAGCAAAAGTGGAGAGTTCAAAGGCACTCTCCATTCTTTCCTTTTCTTCCATTCCTGTTTTTTGTTTTTTTCCCATTTCTCTCTTTAGTCTCCATGTGTTCCTTAATGCTTGACAGGTTGATTGCAGGGTGGGGTAAAAGATAAAGAGGATTCAGTTCCCTGTCTCCTGGTCTCCTCAGTTCCCTGTCTTGGGGCTGTGTGTGCTTACTAGAGTAGCTGCACGCCTCTAGAAAATTGATTCACTTTCTGATTGCTTCAATTTATGCATTTGAAAATTGATGTAACAGTAATAAGTAACTCACAGGATTGACCCTTCATTAACTGATATGTTCTGAGTATCCACCATGCATGATGGTACTTCTCTATTTCAAGTTTCTGCTTGTCTTGTGAGTAGAGATACTCATTACTTTGTTTCATACTATCTTTTCCAGGATGTTTGTATAGCAAACAGCCTTGACATATGAAGTAATGTGTTCCTTTGTCACGAAAGGTAAGTTTTTTCTTTTACTGTCTAGAATAATAAAGAACATATTTCAGAGCAGCACTAAGGTGGAGTTACTGTTCCTTAAAACGACTTAGACTTACTTTTTTTTTTTAAGTTTGGTGTCCTTTACTCACAGCACAGGACACTTTCTGCATAGATGTCATATGGCCCGCCTTACATCATCTTTGGGAAATTGGACTTTGATACAAATATTGACACACTAGCTATTGTTACAAAATAATTAAGTCATTTGCCTGACCTTGGTGCCTGGCTTATTTCAACATCCCCAAATGGTGACTGGCTAATGTTTCAGCTAACCAGTAGGGTAAATTCTCAGACCTTCTTCAAGTCTTCAGAATTGTTAATCACTACCCATCTTTTGGTATATATCACTGGATACAAATGACATGGAACTCTATATCTCATGGAGCTTCCATACATTTTAGTTGAGGGAGACAGACAATAGGCAATAATAAAAGGTTATAAAAATAAGATTAAGACAAATTTATGGAGAGGAGTAGGGAGATGTCAATGGAAGGTGGGGATACTCATGACAAAGTGGTAAGAAAATGCATTGATGACCAGGTGGCATCCAAACAGAAGGAAGTAAGGAATTGAACTATGGGTAAAGCTATGAATATCCATCCCAGGCAGAGAGAAAGTTCAGGGTTAGGCTCTGAGGCAAGAACCAGTTGATGTGTTTGCCATCATTGAGCATGACAGCCCACTTTGAGGGAAATGAGAGTGAAATGTGGGGCATAATTCTAAGAAAACAGTAAGGGCCTGAGTCACAAAGGGGCATGCAGGACATTGTGAGGATATTGATTTTTATGAATGGGAAAATTTGGGGATATGAAGATTGATATCTTTCTCAGGACATCCTATAGGCATCTCAAATGTAGCATGCCCTGTGCTATTACTTTAATCACTTAGAATTTTTCTTCATTTTCCTCACTGTTTCTTTTTTATTTCAAATTGATTGCTCAAACCAAAACCTTACTATTCATCTTGATGATTCCTTTACCAATTGCCAAAAAAAGTCTGCAATTTTTTTCTCATTCTCTCTCTGTCTGTCTGTCTGTCTGTCTGTCTTTCTCTCTCTCTGTCTCTCTCTCTCTGTCTCTCTCTCTGTCTCTCTCTCTGTCTCTCTGTCTCTCTCTCTGTCTCTCTCTCTGTCTCTCTCTCTGTCTCTCTCTCTCTCTCTCTCTCTCTCTCTCTCTCTCTCTCTCTCTCTCTCTCTCTCTCTCTCTCTCTCTCTCTCCCCCTCTCTCTCTCTCTCTTGGTTCTATGTCCAAAACTTATACACACTTCCAATCATGTCCACTATAGCATCTTAGATGACATTACTACATCCAGTTTGGCTTGCCCCCAATTCCTCTAGGTGTTTTCTCATGTCTTCTTTCTTCAGTGCTCTGTCCATGCAACAGTCTCTGTGGAATGCAACTATGACCATACTTCTTTCCAGTTTTTCATTCTTCAAGATCCTTGGAATGGATTTAGACTTCTTTCTACTTCTCTTGCTTTACCTCTGGATGGCATCCTTTTTAATATTCCCAGCCATGTTGGTCATTTCTGTGTTCTTCCTGGATGAGAAGTAAAACATAAACTCCTTCATTCAAACTTTAAGATGTGTTAATAAATATTTTCTAATGAAATGTTCCCTTTTCTCTTTTCCTGAATCCTCCTTAATTTTATCCTTCATTTACATTAATGGTCATGGTATTCTTTATGTCACTTAAAATAATTTTAATTCTATGGGCTTGAGAGGTGAATTTAAGAATTTAAGAGTACTTGTTGCTCTTCCAAAGGGCCTAGATTAGTTTCCCAGAACCCATATTGCTCCACATAAACATCAGTAACTCCAGTTTTAGTGAATCTGAAGCTTTCTTCTGGTCTTGCATGCCTCAGGCATGCATGTGGTGTACAGACATGTGTGCAGGCAGAAAAAAACTCACATACATAACAATTTAAAAATAATTTAAAATCTATATCTCATATGACTGCTAGAAATTTTTTTTTTTACTTTTAGGGGAGAAATATGGTTGTTTTGGTTTAGCACCTAGCAAAGTACCTGCAAAATGTTGGGTATTAAATAAATATTTGCTGAAAATACGCATTCAGTAAAATGTAAATATTCTGATTTTTCCAAAGACCAAAGTTTATGTCTTGTTCATTTGTGTGTTTTCGGTCTTTTCCATATGGTGTTCCGTTCTTGGTTCATTTAACAGTTTATTCATTCAAGTCTTGATAGAATAAAATATTGTTTTCTTCTGTCTGTAAACTCTCATCTGCATGTTTAGGACATGGATGTGTTTTCTGCCACTGTGAAGTATTTGAATCAGTAAAATTCTTGCGTTTCATCTCTTGTCATCCACTGTGTAGTGCCATATTGCTAGCAAGAAAGTTTCAATAGCCACTGTTAAGGAGAGTTTGCCCTCCAGAAAAGGATTATTTCTTTTGATCCAACAAAGTAAGGGAAGGTCTTATACTGTGGGAAAGGGAGTCCTTTAGGATCTTGTCCTAGGCATCCTTTAAGCAATACTAGCAATAGTAACAGCATTCTGATTTAGGCTTGCTGATTCTAGAGTCTTGACAATGATTTTGACACTCTTTGACTCTGAACCCAAAGCAAAAAAAAAAAAATCGTGTTATGAAGGATTGATAAGTAAAGTCATGAAGAAAGAAAGATCAATTTCATTATGACTTTGTATTTTGATTTTATTCTGACTCATAACTCACCAGTCCCCACCTGTGCCTTGGGAAACACTTCATTGCAGTGATTTCCAAGTAATCTTGTGATTCTGAATGGTACAATATGGGACACAGTTCTGGTTAGAAATTGGCCATGAAATTGGGATGGGAATGTCCTTTTAGTGGCATCATGTTGAAGGCTGTGAAGAAAGTCTGCACAGAAGTCAAGGCAGGCATGGTTTCAAGACTAAGTCTACTATTTTACCTGTGGGGTGACATTCTTCCCTCAGGGACAAAAACATACATCAAAATGTATTTATTTGGTAGGAGAATAGACTTAGAATGTGTATATAAGTATTGCACAATGATATTTATTCTGAAATTACAATTGCTGACTGGTAGTAATATGATCCTTCTTCCATGAGTTGGAGCAATGTATTTCATCTTCCTATGCTCATTGTCTGGACAGAGTAACAGTTGTTTATCTTGGAGGATGGTACAGGCTTTGACTGGAATAACCCTAATTGATACTCTTGTGTTCAATCTTGATCATGTTTAGAATGCTTACATTGTCTAGCCTTGTAGAAATCTTTTCCCCTTTCTTACCTCTTGGTGTACATTGGGAACTCAAATATGTCATGACCTATTCCCCACTGATGCAAGGACTGATTATGTACCTAAACAGAAAATGATAACAACACTTAGGAGAACTGTTTAATGGATGCTGACAAAACTTCCTGGAATGATGGTGTTGGGAAGGTACCTGTTGATTTTCACATCCTGTACAAAGGTTTCCCATGTAAGGAAAAGAGAGACATCAAGCCTAAGGTGTTTGATCTCATATTTGACGATGCCCTTGACATAGCCAAGTCTTTTTCATGCTTGTTTTTTGAAACAGGATCTCCTGTAACACAACTTAGTTTTCTTTTTTTTTTATTCAAGGAACTTCATAACTGTTTAGACTCTCTCTCTCTCTCTCTCTCTCTCTCTCTCTCTCTCTCTCTCTCACACACACACACACACACACACACACACACACACACACACACACAGAGGAATGAATGTCCATGCATATACCTGTAGAGTTCAGAGGCGAACCTCAGGTGCCCTGCTCTATCAGTTTCTGCCCTGCAGTTTCACCCTTTACATCTAGGCTGGTTGACCAGTAAACCTCAGCAACTGTCCTATCTCTGCCCATACCCCCACACCCTCCAACCCTGCAACACCAGTGATGGATGTAATGAAGTTGTATAATCACACCCCACTTTTTTTTTTTTTTTTTTTTTTTTTTTGGTTTTTCGAGACAGGGTTGCTCTGTGTAGCTTTGCGCCTTTTCCTGGAACTCACTTGGTAGCCCAGGCTGGCCTCGAACTCACAGAGATCCACCTGGCTCTGTCTCCCGAGTGCTGGGATTAAAGGCGTGCGAGTTCAGGGGATCTTATCTAAGGTCTCATATTTATGAGGTGAGCTCTCCTGCCCT